AAGCCAGTCAGACAATAAAGGAGCACTTCGGCGCTCATTAGCTCCACAGGAGCATGAACCTACTTCCGCATGTCCACGACCGTTGCCCACCAGATTTACCTGGAGCCTGCTTTTGCCCAACTAGACGCTATATTCTTGGCTCGGCGGGCGGAGAGCCGGAAAGCCTATGTCGCAGAAGAATCGAAAAATGTCTTAACCTTCTTCTGGGCGTAGTTCAAGCACGTTTCAGATCAACAGACAGTGTTGGAGCCGCCAAAAGCGGCAATTCTGAGGTTGGGGTAGGTAAATAGCCCTGTCGCACACCTCGAACGTCATCATCGCGGTTTGTGCCCATGTACCTGGAAGTAGTGTCGCTGAAATGCGCCCAAAAGGACGCGGTTTGGTGACGCAAGTTGTGGCCCTGACCATTCTCTCGCATACGTCTCCTGAGACCCACATCTCCACCCTCGCCTTCTACTCCTCTTCTCTAGCTTCACTTTAAAGTACTTCTGCACTATCCCGCTTCATCGCGCTCCAACCGAGCTGCTGCCACGAGACCCTCCACTACGCCCACCTTCGGCCTCCATATGCCTCTAAACGCAGCCATCTCAAGAAGAGGGCGTAGTGCCTGGTACAACGCAAAAATCTGGCAGTGCTTAAGAGGTGGAAGCACACTGTGGCTGCGGCATAGCAGCTCGTAGAACGAAGACGCAGGTCATTGCTGTGTACATATTGCAACCATCTCGAGAATGTCGGGTGAAGCAGAAGCGCGATTCGGCCGGCAGCAATTTCATGGTTAACTAATCTTTCTGGGCTGTGACGGCAGCCATCCGAGAACAGGTGGTGATTGATGACCTGCAGCAAAAGATGCAGGACGCTGCTGACCAACGATCTCCATGTGCAGGGCACCCTTCTTGAACGAATCATCACCTATGCATGGCCCTAAACCAGACCCCTTAATCGTTCTATGCGCGATATTTATCTTCCATGTATCTAGCCGTATTAGGCGGGCGCTCACACCTAGCGGTAACTTAGCTATGCGTTTCTCTGGAAATGGCGCTGTCGTAAGTCACGATTGGTGAGCGCACTTACACATCGACAATGTCTGACATAACATAGAGGTGTCGAAGCCAGATACTTGTGTCATCTGAATCATTAGACAGTAGCTCCAACTTTTCGTAACATAAGGCAAAGGCAATTGGCATCCAGAAAGTGAGGTTATCGCGAGATTTAATTACTATAACTAGTAACTTAGTAGTATTGATTACCGTTTGGGACATCTCCAAAAAGCAAAAAGACGTGCTAGGCTAGAAGACTAGATACATAAAGTATCCTGAGTATCCGTACCTGGGGTTGCCTCGAGCTAGTGGCGGTGTGTCACACACAATACGAGTCAGGGTAAGCTTTCTAAGACCCCGCCCTTGGGCTAATGATCGGCTGCACTGAGATCGTGCTCGAACTACCCCTGCCAATTAGTTTGGGCCGCCACAACATGACGGGGGACAAAGACGAGACAAGGTGTCGGAACTGACGGGTAGAAACACATGTCGGATCACGTGCATCATCACGTGCAGACACCGCAAATCCGGCAGCCAATTTCCCCCTTAGGGACGAGGCCTCCAAGGAGGCCTCAAGAAGAAAAAACACACACAATCATCACAATCAATACAACCTCTTTTGCAGCTGCACACAAGCTGCTGCATTAAGCCTTGATCCATCGTACATACCCACCTATTTCCTCATTAGGCCCGAGCCGCAGAACCACCGTTCTGACACAAGGCAAGACAAAATGTGGCGCGACGTGACAGAAAGCGACCCACCTGCGCGCCATCGAGGTCGGCATGACGTCTGCGATGTTGTGTTGCAGCACGTCGGTGCTGTAGTGACCCAAACACCAAACCTTGTTCCCCTGATCCCCTCTACTCCGAGCTCATGCAGACCAGGGCAACCATATGTACATACATATATACATACATAAATACAAGATATATATGCATGTACGTATGCACAAACATGCCTCGGGGCCGGCACGTTAAACCTTGCCATGGACAGCACGTGGCGATCGCGGCCCTGACCACCATCTCGCCGTGACGCCTAAGCCATGTTGTCTTGATACCTCAGGGTCTGACCTCGACTGGCCCCGGGCACGATAGGCGTACCCATAAGGAGGCGGTTCCTTTCCACGGGCCCCTACTGCACTTGGCAGCAAAGACAATGCCCGTCGAATGCTGATACGAATGGCTTGTCAGAGGTGCCGCAAGAAACGAGCAAAGGTCAGTCGATAGCCCACCCGAAGCCAAAGCCCAAAGAGCCCCAGTCGTCTGTCTCATCCCATATCCTGCCTAGCTGGATACTTTCACTGATTGGTTTCTCGCTCTCTAGTGTGATGATGGCCAGGCACCGTGCAAAAGATGCGACGAGGCCGGAGAAGGACGCGTATACGACCACCCGCGACGCAAGTCCAAAGACGATCTACGGGCCGAGATCGATAGTCTACGGCGGTACAACGAGGAGCATGACCGACTACTCCGCGCAATATGTTCAATCAACGACGTCGAAGTCAGCAATGCCTTTATACAAGACTTGGTCGGGGACCAAGTCTCACCAAGCCATTCTGCAGGAGCTGGCGCACCTGAACGGTGAAAACGGGCGTGGCTCGTCAGATGGAGGTGAACAGGAATCATCGGCGGGCTCTTCCAGCTCCATTCTCGACGAAGCCGTCTGCCCGCACTGCCTGAGCCGACTGCCGTCGCCCACCATGCACCGTTCTGCCTCGGGCTCGAGCGACCTCAGCACACTGACCGAGGCTCCCAAGGCGACTTCGACACCGGCCCTGGCGGCTCCTGTTTCCCCGTCATTGCCCTTTGACGATGCATCACACGCGCAAACCGACAGGTGGACGTGCGCCGGGTGTACGGTGGCTTCGGTTCGGCAGATCCTCGACGCCCTCCTCACCTGGGACTACCTCCCCTTCTGCCTCATGTGCAAGGACCCCTTCTTCCGAGACTATTGCAGCGGCTCGAGCCGGTACTGCTCCTCTGCCCTGGTAAACGCGCTCATCGCGCTGGCAACCCAGGTGGTCCACGAGATCAGCGACGAAGCGGAGAGCCCGGGCCTGGCTTCAAGTGCGGAAGCAAACCACTTTCGACAAGGCCGAGGCCATTATCCGCAGAACCGGCCCCTCGGCCAACCTCCCAGATATACAGGCCATCGGGATTCCTCGCTCTACCAGATTACCTGCGGGCGCGAGGCCGAAGCTCAAGCGCTTGCCGACTCCTTTGCCGCTAGGATAGTCAATCTTTGTCCTCAAGAGCCCCTGATGGGCTCCGAGGCCGAAAATATGCCAAAGTTTGGGCTACTTCGTACCGCGCGCCGTGTCCCTGATTCGGTCTGTAAACCGCTTGCAGCCCCTATTCCCGACTCCTCCGAAGCATAAACTGATGGGATTCCGCACAGCATACTTCGTCTCGACGGGCCAAGTCTTCACCATGTCTACGAGTTGCAAGCTACAAGACGACTCAATATTTCTAGACCAATCCGCCTGCGGTGCCGAGTACCTGTTTGGCGGCCAGTGCGGCAGCGGAACTACACCAGGTGAATGCATCAAGTTAGGTATACCCAGGAATTGTATCCAATCAGGAGTCGCACCGTAACACGGCTGCAGACCCTGCCCTGAAAGCACGCGGCTCGCAACTGCGCAATCTACAGCTCATTCCAGCAAGAGTCTTCCAGCTCACGGAATGGGTGTACAAGCTCCTCTCATCAGCAACCCATACCCCAAACGGACGATTCGACACAGCCGAGGTCATGGCAGTGTATACCGAGTGTCTCGATTGGTACGAAGGATTCTTCTCCTACCCAAAACCGGCGGCAGTGACACCCCTTTGTACTCTTTATCTAGTATGTACACAGACACAAGAACCCGGCTCACAGGACTCGGGGGGCCGAGAGACACAGAGGGAGAAGAGACAGCATCATTCGGCTGACTGCCCGCATGTAGCATGTACTATCAGTTCTGCCTACTCTGCCTGTTCCGCCCTCTCGCCAACCTTGTCCTGGCTGATTCCGACGTCCGACCCGCGAAATCTGTCTCCAGGCTGCGGACTCTATCCTCACCCTGTCGCAGTCCTACAGCAGGCTCTTCACCCTTAGACGCGTCTCCCCATTCGTCCCCTATTTTGTTTGTGCCTCTGCCCTTGCATGGCTTACAATTGAGTCAACATGCAACTCTGTGGCCTTGGCTGGCTCGCAACCTTTCCAACCAAGAAAGTTGTCCTCGACCATCTCGGATGTTTCAAGCGTGGACGGGTTTAGCACCTATCAAGACGTGTCCTCCCCGACTGCCGCCAAAGTGCCCATAATGGCCCACGCGAGCCAATTGCTGGCAGAGATGAGCTCCAACCGTCGAATGGCCTCATCCATAGAGAAGATGCTTCGAGGATATCTTACCGAGTTATGGTGATGCAGAGAGACTCGACAGAGTCTTGTTGTAACAACGGGTTCTCGCATCGGCCGGGGTCTTTTGCGGGCGCGCTTCAGTACAAGTAGCAAGGCAATCGCCTCACCGGGTTCGAACGCCGTTGGACAAGGCAGCCACAGTGCTTTTGCTCTCTTGCCAAACGCCGAATCTTGATAATTACCCACCCATTGCGTAAGTCTTCAATATGCATACACATATTTTCTAGTCCTGTTTTACGCGTTTGACTGTACTATGCCATGCACTGTCCGAATCCACCCTTCTCTTCGATGAATCGACGGAAATATTATCAGGGCTCAGGAGCTCAACCGCTTCCCCCGTTTTCCTGTTGCCTCTGATCTGGGCTGGTGGCTTGAATGTCCAAAGAAACTGAATCGACGCTGGAGATCGCCTTGATGTCCCAAGGCTTGATGACCCAAGCCAGTGCCTGTGACCTCGCAACCTCCTTAGCCAAGAATTTTCTTCCCTTCGCAATTGTCAGGTATCTCTGAGCATTTTGAGCCATTCCCTGCAGTTCGTCGAAGCTAGTGGTAGCAGTGAACGAGCGATCGCCATGTATCTTCAACACTCGTGGAAACCGTAGAGTATAGTACCGTGCATTTGCGGGCTTGTCGAGGCCAGATCCACGAGTTCTACTATAAATGGATGCTGAAATAACGCCTTTGGGCGTAGTCCACAGTCGGGGTCCAAGACCTCTCGCGAAGGAGAGAGCAAAAGCGGGCATAAACGTGGATAAAGGGACTTTTGAAGGTCGAGTGTCACCCGATCAGATGTTTTTTTCTTCTATCTCTCCCTCCCCGTTGCCTCCTTTCCCGTCCAAGCAGCCCCTTTATATCCCTCCAAGCTTCTCCCAAGTTGATATCCCGTTTTCAGGTATAGTATACATTCTATCAGGAAGAGGGCACTTCTTGCCACTTACTGAAGGCCACGTAAGTCATCTACGTCAGCAACATCAGCTCCATCTCCCCGATCAAATAGCTCTTCTAGCTATGAAATCGATAGTTCAGTCTCTCGAGGTCCCGAGCCAGTAATAGTTATGCCGGACTCCTCAAAGGGTCCCCGTTCGAATAGGAGATCCTCCGGACCCTCAGTGGTCTAGGAAGAAGAAACAACAGTCTGCAGACTTCCTTCTTACCTGGTTTCAAGCTGTATTACCTAGAGACCTAGAGACCTCAACTCGTTCGGACCTTCTTCTCGACACACCCCTTAGCTATGAGCCGTCCCAACGGGTCAAAGCTACAGCCAAAGGTTATAGGTCCTCAACGAGGTTACCGTGTAGTCGTGGCCGAGACCTCCCTAATATTCCTATGCGGTCAAGGGCCTCTCTCTAACCGTCTTACTAGAATCCGGTCTCGTAGGTCTTCCATCCGGGTCTCAAGCTGAAGCCGGTTTTTAAGTCAACTATTCCAATCATCTCTTGGAATTTCTGTAGTTTCTGACGAGGAGTGCCTTGGTTAGGCCGTCTGCTTTCATCTGTGCCGGAACCCAACGGACTTGAATTCTTCCTTCTTGAGTCTCTTGGCGTAACCAATGCCGGTGGATATCAACATGCCGTAGTCTCGTTGATAGCTTCGCGTTAGTCTCTGCAAGCAGTCGTATCGTTTGACTATTATCACATTCTAGCTGTAGCGGGTCCGGAATCTGAAGGTATAAGGACCGTAGCATCCGGCTAAGGAATATAGCTTCTTTTGCTGCTTCTGAAATAGCTAGCAATTCAGCCTCGGTGCTAGAAGTAGTGACTGTTGCTTGTTTCGAAGCTCTCCACGCAATAGATCCGCCAAACAGGGTCATGATATACCCCTGAGAGCTCTTTCTGTCGAGGGAATTATCGGCAAAGGATGAATCACTAGAGCAAAGGAATATATCGGCTCTCTTATCGATTGATCCTCCTAGGCGAATTCCAAAGGAACGGGTATTATAGAGGTAAAGAATAACCCGGTCTGCTGCCTTCTGGTGTGTTTCGTCGGGGTTCTGGTTGTGTCTAGCTAGCCGAGAGACCGCAAAGGCGATATCTGGTCTCGTTGAAATAGCAGCAAAGAGGATAGATCCTACCTTCTGTAGGTACCTATGAATTTCCTGTTCGCTTGCTTGGCTAATAGAAGGAGTAGCTCTTCTGTTGTCATTGGTGTGTCTGGAAGCTTTGAGGAAAGTCGGTCCGGTCCTAATAGCTTGTGGGCTATTTTCTCGATATAGGCATCTTGCGTTAGCCAAATCGTCTTCTTAGTCCGGTCCCGAAGGATGTGTATGCCTAGGAACCAGCGGGGCTCCAAGCAATGTCATTTTATATCGTTCTTGCAGTCCTCGCATAGCCTCCATAGCTATTCCTTGATCTTCTTTCTTATAGGCCCAGACAATATCGTCGACGTAGAAGAAGACAATGACTGCCCTTCTTCATCACACAAGGTTCTTGTGGGACCTTTCGAATCCTAATTCCTCTAGGGATCGGGTAAGGTGCTGTTGCCAAAGTAGAGGATCTTCGTAGACCGTATAGGGCTTTCCGAGTAAAAGAATTCTGCCTGGCTTGCAGAATCCGGGAGGCATCCTCATAAAGACTACCTCTTCCTCGAGTGGACAGTTAACGAAGGCGTTTACTGCATCCATTTGATCAAGTTCGAGGTCGAATTCTGCTGCAATAGCCATGAGTGCCCGGAAAGACATCCTGCTAGGGTCGTTGCTCGAGTCGGTAGATCCCCTTTCCTGCTGGTTGCCGCAGACCACAAGTCGAGCTTTGCACTTCTGAAGGTACCCATGCTTGTCAGTCTTATAGATAAAGACCCATTTGCAGTATAGAACTTGTTTGCCAGCAGCCCTTTCCACGGAACTTCGATAAAGGACCCCATCTCTTCGTGCGAGGCTAGATGGTCCTTTTGGGCTTTAACGAATTCCTCTTAAAAGGGTGCTTTCTAGCTGCTTGGTGTTTTCTGGTGGGCCTGGTAGGTCCTTCTTGTGTACCTTAGTCTTTGGTTTAAATAGTCTTCCAGCAGTAAAGGCTCCATGCACCCCGTCCTCTATAGGAGTAGGATAAAGTCATTAAATCTGTCCAAAATCGGCAGTGGTTTGAGTTCCGGGTCTACCCTATCATCTGATCAGACGATTCCTTGGTAGACAATGTAGAAAGAGGTCTGTTTGACTCGTTGATTGATAAAAGGAAGCTTGCCAGGAGTTGTCAAACCGCCCCACCCCTTAGGGTAGCAACCGGAAGAGAGACCAAGAAGCCTGCCTCAGGATCTTCTTCTGTCAGTGGAGGTGTTATAAGAGAAGCTTCTTCAAGCGCCTTAACCCTCTTATAGTCTTCTTCGTCTGGGTCGGTCTGTTCCTCTTCGTCTTCCTCGTCTGAGTCTTCGTCGAACACGCTCTCAAGCTCCGATTCTTCGTCAAGGATTTCTGGTTGATTTTCTGGTCCTCCGGTATCTCAACGCGTTGAATAAGATCATTGATGCTAGGAAGCAGCTGCGGCTGCTCGAATTTCCCATCAAAATAGGTAAATTCGTCAAAAATAACATCCCTTGTCGAAATAACCTTTCTTCGTTGCGGAATCCAGATCCGGAAGATATTAGTCGAATTATATCCAACCAGGTATCCTATATGTGACCGTGGATCAAGCTTCTGCCTCTTTTTCTTGCCTAGCTGTGCGTTAGAAGTCATAGCGTAGGCCCTACAGCCGTAGGCCTTGAGCTGGGCATGCTGTTGAGGTTGATCCTTCTTCGTAAAGAGCTCAAGAGGTGTTTTCCAGTCTTCTGACGAATTCGGAGTTGAATTCGTAGTCCTAGGGGCTCGAGGTTCGATTCCGTAGATAGCAGGATGCTTCCACGGTCTCTTTCAAAGGTCGTGAGGAAGGCCTGCTGCGATCCTCATCTTGCGAGCCCTTTCAATAACAATTCCACCGGACCGTTCTGCCCCTCCGTTTTGGGCTTGTGTATTCGAGGCTGATTTTTCTGCTGAAATTCCTTCTTTCGTAGCCACTTCTTAATCTTATTAGTGAATAGCTCTCCGTCAGACCGTACAATTTTCACCGTGTAGTCAAAACGAAGCTTCATCCAGCTAACGAAATCTCGAAGTGCGGCTAGGTGGTGCTTTGAATGATAAGTCTTAAGGAAGTAGGGGAAAACCATGCCCGAATATGCGTCTGTGATGAACATCACACGGACATAGCCCTCGAAATCAGGGGTAAGCTCGGTCCAGTCGATCCAAATCTCTTGGCAGGGCTCTTGACGTTCGTCTCGAATAGGGGTTCTTCGAGAAACCTGTCGTATTGCCCTCCCTTGAGCACAGTGCTGGCATTCGTAGGTTTTTGGGCCTCGAATATGCACTCCTTTTCGTAATCCTAGCTTATAAAGAGCTAGGGGTCCCGGGTGACCTAGTCTGGCATGCCAAAGGCTAGCTTCTGCTGTCGCTGTCGGTCTTGGGTCCCGGGAGCCTCTTCTTCTCGGCTTAGAGGCTTGAAAAACCGCTTCTTCAATATCCTCCTTCTGAATAGGCTGGAAATCGAGAACAAACTGGCGATATTTCGAAATAAAATACAAATCGGTCTCTTGTCTCGGTAGACTAGCCTTGTGGGCTCTGTGAAGGTATCCCAGTAGATTCCT